TTTTTATAAGTTTCAATTTAGGGTTCTACTTATTGACAGGAATATAGCTCTGAAGAACGTGTTAAGAGACTTTTATAAACAGCTGGCAGGAGCTATTGGATGCCATGTCATAAAAGAGCTCACAGAACTGAAAAATCTACTCACCTCCCAGTCCTAGCACTGGAGACGCTTATCTGGTGAGTAGGATGCCTTAGTCCATCACATTTTGGTAGTTAAACTTTCCTTGAAAACTTAAAATAGTTCTGAAGCCCTTTTATGTTTGCAAAGAAACCACCTATGTCTGAACAGCAGTGAGTTTGGTTCTCTATTTAATAGGTAGTTGGCTCTCTCTTCCAGCTTAGAAAGATTTCTGTATCTGTGATTTCTACTATGCATATACAGATGGGTAGATAGATAGACAGACAGACAGATAGATACTGACAATGTCCCTATGGAGACACACTGAAGAATAACAGGCAACTAAAATTCTGGAAGTTATCCTGAAGAGCATAAAGCCTAAGTGAAGAAGAGAGATCACCAAGGCTAGGGACAGAAGTTACACATAAACTGGTTTAAGTGATCAGAAACTGGTTTAAACTTGTAACAGAACATAAGTTCAGTGCAAATAAACTCCTATCAAAATGGCTGAAACTGGTTTAAGATAAACCTGGCTGAATGTAGTATCAGACTTAACTGATTTGGGTCAGGCCAATTTATGAAACTTCTGTTCCAGACCTCTTCCTGGTTCAAGTTAAATCACAGTCCCCCAGCATTCCCCGCATGCTTTCCAGCCCAGGGCTGGGCTGTGCTATCCACTCCAGACTGTAGGGCTAGCCCCTCCCCTCTGCTCCCTAGCTGGAACAGTAAGGCTGGCTGACAAGGGAGGGGAAGTGGAGGGAAGCCTAGCTGGCAACGCAGCCCAGTCTGCAAGAGAGGACTGCTCCCTCCACCGCCAGACAAACCCCAGCTGGGGTCTTGGGCCAGGGATGAGGGTTTAACATCCCTTCCCCCATTCAAAATTACTGCTGGGTATAACTGTGGACTACAAATCCCAAAGGTGCCTGGAAGCAGGAAGAGGGAGTGATGAGCAGCCCTGCAGAGTCCTGTTCCTGTAATTCTGGACTGCAAATCCCAGAGACCTTGGGGGTAGCAGGATGATGAAGTGTACACACTGCCAGAGAGCCATACTCTCGCACCCCCTGGCTTCTGGCCTGAGCCACTGCAGGCATGTGGCTGCATTTCCGGAATCAAAAGTAAACGTCTGTTCACTTCTGTTTCAATTTAATTTGTCCAGCTTAGACTAACCTGCGACTGAATTGATTCAGCCTTGGGCTGTATGACTGTCTATACCTGGCCCAAGATTCTGTTTAAAACAAAGTAAAGATGAACAAAGACATGTTAGCAAACATTTTTTGCTTAGTTAAACAGATGTGTTTCAAGTCATTGTAACTTAAAATCTAAGGGCATTTTATAGATGGGCTCCGAGACAGATAAGGGGGGGGGGGGGGGGAGGCGCTTTAATTAGTGCAACTCTGAGAGCCGTGATAAATAAAATCACCCAGAGCGTCATGTGCATCAATGTCCCTATGCTGAAAAACGGTGGCAAATGAGCTTTAGTTTAAAGTGCCCCGCTGCCATTTTTAAGCGTGGGGACACTGATGCATGTGATGCTTGAGTCTGCTGGAGAGAGGTAATTGCCATTCTCCAGCAGACTCAATTAAATCGAGTCTGCTCCAACACAATGTAATTACAGCGTGCTGGAGCAACCTCCCTGCACGTGTATAGGAGCCCTAGAATACAGTGTTTTCAAAATGTCATCTTTTTATTCTGTGTTCTGCAGTCCTGACTACTGAAGCTGGTGGGTGTTTTGACCAAGGAATAAATGCAGGAGATGGGTCGTGGAAAGGTGCAAGTTGCATAAGCAAGCCATTTTATTGGATAACTGAAAGCAGAAGAATCTTTCCAGCCAGTAAAGATAATGTACATAATACTACTGTTTTAAAAGCCTATTATTAAAGAAGGGATGTAGGTTGTAGCCATGTTGGTCTAAGGACATAGGCAGACAAGGTTCCTTGGGGGAATCTCATATCTTTTATTAAAGCATATAGTATATTTAAAAGCATATCCACTTTCCTATGAAATACTGCAGGTGATTTCTTTCCTTCTTTGTTTCTTTCTTTTTTTGTAATGCTTATCACACACAGCAGTGTCTCAGTATTTTCCTGAAACAGGCTTCAGCATTTTTTTAAGTGCCTAAACTAAAATGCCTTAATCTATAAAAGGATTGATATGAAAGTGATCCTTTTAAAAAATTATGTGGATAAATGAAAGTGTTTGGTGAATATCAAGTTAGACTGAAGAAATTCCTGTTGACCACTGCACACTAGCATTTCTTTGTGGAGGCAATCAATAGATATTAGCTTTAAAAAGACAGATATAGAAAGAAGCTGCATCATATTATTTTTAAGATGACAAGGTGAGGTTTAAATTGTCTCAATCAAGACTCAATTTTTTCCATACACTACTTTCCCAGCTGTTCTCTTACAGATATAACTATTCTTTTAAAAAAATGTAATTATATTCAACTGATATTATATTATTTTATCCCAGTTCTTCTTTTATAAGTAAATCACTTTTAAAATGAGTTTTTTTTATTTTTTCATTAGCATTTGTGTCACAAGTGTTCTAAATAAAATAATACAAAAAAAAAAAAAAAAGAAAAGAAAAAAGAAAGAACCCCAAACGTTTACAAAAAAAAAAAAAGAAAAGAAAAAAGAAAAAACCCCAAACGTTTAACTATTAGTGACCTAACCAGAGATACTTAGTGCAGAGTCAAGGCTTTTTACCAGAGCTGGATAGTGGCAATGTTTGGGATCTCCTGGAACTGCCAAAACTCTATAGATAACAAAAAAACAAAAGCAGGTCTTGAAAGTCCCCTTAAGAAAAGGTCTCATCTTCAATCTCTTCCCTTTCCATGCAACAGTGCTTCCTCCAGCACCACCTCTCCTGGCAGTTAGTAACACAAAATTGCTCAGAGTAAGGCTGCCTGCCACTACAGTAACCCTTTCAGGAGCAAGGGAAGAAGGTAGATTCTAGGATGGGGGAAGGGTCAGGAGAAAGAAAAAGTAGAAAAAAAACTGGCATAAAGAAAGAGGGTTTCTGTTTTGGTGGATCCAGATCCCAATTCTACCCTAACTTTCACAAATTTGTTTTCATTTTTCATAATAATGAACATTATATTACATGTGGATTTAACTGTATGTAGATATACTCTTGTGTACATTTATATTTGGCTCCAGAATATCAAAACGTTTTAATAAAATCGGCACATAATTATACTACTATTAAATAATGTCCCAAATTAACTCCTATGAACTAGAAATATTGCATATTACATATTTTAACTCAGGATATATACACACAGGAAATATTAACTGAACAGCAACTTTTCTTTATAAATGATAAAAAAATGAATATATATATTCATTTATATATTATTTAATTATTAAATTATATATTAATTATTTAATTTATTATTAATTATTAAATTATATATACAGATATATAATTATTGTGAAAATAAGATAGCTTATCAAGAAAACTAATGATTATTTTGGCCCATAACATCATACTGCATACATATTCCAAACACGGGATACCTCCAAAATAAATATATTGTTCTTGATGCAGCGCTCTCTCAGTATGCCTATCAGATTTTTCAGCAAATAATTTATACAGGCTTCTAGTCAATAGAAATAAATATAGTTTTTTTAGACCCTCACAAAAATCTATATGTAGCTCAATCAAGTCACAGAATTTAAAGGTATCTTGCACAATCCATAAGCTGCAGCATGTTAGCTGCTTTGACGATATGCTAAAAGAAGTCTTTTTTAGTTATTTAAATTCTGGGGATATTGAACAATCTTCCTTTTGGGTATGCATCATGTAAACTGGCATAAAAAGAATAAATCAATTCAAGAAAGAAATACTGGATATTTAACACATCTTTTTTTTACTATAGTATTATATTTTTACATAAACAACCCAAATTCTATGATCTTCAGCAGCTTTATACACAAAGAAAAAACCCTATAAAAACAATCTACAATAGTACTGTACATCTTTAAGAAATAATTGATTGTCTTTTGTAGCTGTAATTCAGAACTCTCTGCTTCTGAATCATTAAAATGATTTCTGTTCACTTCTGGTTACTTTTCAAAATATACCACTTCAAAAGAATCTAGAAGTAGTTTCTTAGGTACCAAAAAACCCCTTAACAATAAAAATAAATTAATTCTCTCAGCACACATTCTAGCAAAACATGAGATATGGAAAAAAAACCAGGAGATCTCATTTAATTAGTGAAACACTGGTTACAAGTGGAGCAACTCCACATGTAATTACGTTTTTTTGCAATTGTCTAAAAATATTATTAGGTTCTCTTAACTTTTTTCCAGTAGAACGTTTCAAATGGAAATAGGTTGTTAGATGGATTCAAAGGAACTAAGATAACAAATTATAATAAAAGACAAAGCTAACTGGTATCAGCAACTCACAATTTGACAACAATCACTGACTTTATATATTTATATCGCTGACTTTACCGACTACAAAAGAGGGCTAGTTCTTGCTTCATAGTTCAGCAATCAGACTACAAGTTAATATTGTCAAATCATAACCAACCTATGCCCATTCACTAAATGCAAAGCACGTACATTTTCTTCCTTTTTTGTTTTAAGCCACAAAACCTTTTTCCTGTATAAAAACGCTATATTTACCCAGACACTTCACACTTAGAGATAGCTGTTTCTTTTGCAACGGTATTTAGCACTATCTGATTTCTAGATTTCAATTCTACTATTAAAACAAAAATGTCTCAATTCACAAATATACGTACACTTAGCATGTTTATTTTGTAAAGGGTTCTGTTTTAACTTTTTGATCCAATTAAATCTTCTCTAAACATATAGATACAAAATATGGATAGAACCATATTTGTTATTAGATATTTTCATGCTGACCTGCTGTGATGTCATCATCAACCAGATCATGCTCTTCTTCTTGAACTTTGGCTTCTGTGCTGGATGAATCTGGACTTGCAGTACCAGTCTGAATAGCTTCTGCTGTCACTCCAGCTGAAACAAAATTATGTTTTTAGCTGTTTTTTAAATTTACTTTATTCTGTATTTATTTTTCAGCTAATCACTTGCTACTACTGATCATATATGCAATTTTCTTTTATGTTAACACGCTTCCCTATGGAACCTCAACAGCAGTGGCAGAGTTAGTATTTTCTATTTCCCCTAAAAACAAACAAACAAACCCAACACAAAAAACCCCAAAACACACGCTAGTAAGGCCTTTTGTAACTTCATCTTTGCCAAGCCATCTTTTTCAGGCGTTGCAGACTGCACGTATAGAGCTTTCCTACAAGACTGTCTTTACAGGAATTTCCATTTCTGGGAAAGATGCCAAATATCTAAACACAAGAGCTGAAGTGCTCTACTTAGCTACAAAATACAGAGTTGCAGTAGGGGCAGCCACAGCAGCAGCTTCTAAACACTTAGTATTTCTTTGATAAAGCTCAACTTTCACATACAGGTATCACCTCAAGAGCAAGGCTTATCTCTCCATGTTCATGGCAGAATTTGCCAACTCAGCTAAGAGTGCCAACAAGAGTTCCAGTTCATGCTGGCTGCAGTATTTGGATTCTTGATGTCACCAACTCATTCTACACAACTGACATCAAAAGAGTAAGGAATATATCACTGTTTTCTTCCAATGTGCATCTCAATTCAAAGAGAAGGGAAATGCAAAATGAGTCGTTTCCCTTCTTTCCCACTGCTACACTTGTGGCAGAAGACTCCTGCTACTTTAAGAAGCCGGCAGGCTAGTGCTGGGGCAGCCTGCAGGTGTGGGTAGGCATGATTACAGAGTCATCTGATCCTGGAGGAAGGCTGGGCTTAGGTAGGATATAAGCCCAAACCTGAGCAGATCCAGCAGTAACAGCTTGGAGCCTACTGAGGGGATCTCAGCAGGATGGCTGCAGCTCCAGAAGGTCAGGTTGGAGAGCACAGCAAGAAGCAGTTTGGAGGTTCGGGGTGGAACTAAGGGGAGGAGGAGGTTCTTAGAGACCCAGGGAGGGGCTGGGGGCTTGGACTGAGGGGCTGAGACTGTGGGACAAGAGAGGGTCCAGGAGCCTACTGAGAGGCTTCAAATGTGGGACCAGTGAGGGTCTAGGAAACCTAGAGGAGGGGCTAAGTGGAAGAAAACATTAATGAGGATGCCATCTGCAAGGCATAGGGCATGGAGTAGAGGAGGAAAGGAGCTATGCAATTAGCCCATAAGTGCTACCTGGCAGTCACTTAAGAGCAATTTGGGAAGGCCTGGGGCAGCCTACCTCACATCAAAGCAAGACATGAAGACGTGGCAGGAAACTGAAGGAGTGATTGCCCAGAAAGCAAGGGCTGCAGAGACTCCAGGGACTTCCTAGCCAGCCCTGGAGAGGCACCCTGCCACAGTGCTAAGTTTGGGTAGGGCTGATGGGGGATTGGTTGTTGCTGTTTCTTCGGTTTTTGGGGTATTCTTTTGTATTTTGGTTTTTGTTTTTTAACTCTACCATCTCCCAAATGACCTCCAAGAAGACTGCTGTGGAAGCTTGGAAGCAGTGGGGAACAGGGAAGCCCTTCCCCTGAGTCAGCTCTATATAGCCAGGGATCTTGCTAGCTGAACAGATTGTTATAACTCTGGCTTTTTGCCAACTTGAGGTCCTTAATCCACCAGAGAGATAGCACCCATCAGTGAGTGATCAGTGTCAGTGAGTGCCAGATTTCAGCCAGTGCTCTAGACAAGAGTCTTTATATTCTATATGACATGAAAAGCCAGTGAGTCAAAAACTGTAACCTGTGGATTATCACAGGCAAGCAAATCACTTGTTGCTGGTCATATATGGAAATCTGCCTGTTTACATGTTGCTGGGTACTGTGTCCATGTCTTTCTCACTCCTAAATCCTATTCAAGAAAAAACACCCAAAATACAACATTTAATTTCCTAATATTTTTCCACATAAGCAGTTACTATTTTTCCATAGGTACCTGTCATAACTGGCAAATGAAAAGACAAATAATTTATATAATTGTGAACAGATACAATCCAGAAGATCTATCAAAATGCAGTTTACCCAACAAAAAGTTTGAGAGCTATGCCTGAAAGCCACTCAGTCCCCTATACTTTTTCTCTTTAATAAATTACTTGGCAAATCAAATATGCATTAATAAACAAATGCTAAAAAATGTTCTAACATAATTCTAATACAAAATAAGAGACTTTTCTCTTTAATTATTCTACATGCCATTTTATAACAGTATCAGGAATTGCATACAGGTGACATCTGTGTTGAGATAAAACGTTTTAAAAACATAGTAGGTCATAGAAAATTTCTTCCAATTTTCAAACCTTCCTTTCCTTTACAACAACCCACAGAAATATGCACACTCTAAATAAATAAATAAAAACTGAGATGCATTTCAAAGTGGGCTAAAAATGTATTAGATTTAGGGTGCCTGTACATGTGCAGTGAGGCTGCTTCAACGCACTGCAATTAAACGTGATTAATCAAGTCTAATTGAACATGGTAATTACCGTGCTTCAGCAGAATCGTGTCATGTGTATCAATATCCCCGTGCTGCAAAATGGCAGCGGGGGCACTTTAACTAAAGCTCATTTTATGAGTTTTAGTTAAAATGCCCTCGCTGCCATTTTTCAGCACAAGGATGCCGATACACATGACGCTCCAGGCGGTTTAATAGAGTGGCTCCAGGAGCATTTAATTAAAGTGCCTTCTGCCCCGCTCCCCAGGAGCACGTCTATAAATGCCCTTAGATTTGTTCTCCATGTTCCAAAACAGACAAATATATTATTTTAAAACAGAAACTATTCTTAAAGCATTGATATCTTTCTTATGCACCTCATGCACCCCCAGTTGAGAAATGGATTATATATTTGTGTTAACCATAAGAAAAGTAAGAGCACCACCCACAACAGAATTTGTAAAACCTATAACTTGGAATTCATATAAAAGATTAGACTTCAGGGCAAAAGATAGTTTCTAATTATTAACAATTGCTACATCAGATTTTTTTGGGGGGGGATAATTTATTCTGTAGCTTCTGGTGTTGGCTACTGCCAAAGGAATATGGGACTAGGTAAGTACCTGGGCGAGTTCAGTACAGCATTCCTTCTGTATCTCTTACGAGAAATGGGAGAAAAAAATATTCCTACGCTATATCTTTTGTGTAAACATTTTTACGTAGAGGTATATTTTGATTGTATTAGGTGAGAAAAACAAGACATGCTACTTGACACCACCCAAAACACAAAATAAAAATACCCATAAGAATAGTTTAATCAAAGGCAGTGGCACCCAACCTTCCTGCCGTGCAGACCAGAGTGGCTGGGTGTCAGGGAAGCTGGCTGTATTCTATTCATGTACAACCATTTCAAAATCAGATCTTAAAGTAAAAAAACATGAGTCTATCCATGGACTGCTTAGACACGACTCTGCTGACTACTAATCATCTACTAAACTGAAGGTGGGAGACCTGCCATTCCCATCATCTCATCACCATTTTATACCACTACAAATCTTGCCATTTTAATTCCAGTCCTAAGCACTCTTCTGATGCATGAGCATTTTTCTCCACAGCTTCCCCATTTTCTCCTATCTTTAAGTTTTACTAGCTTTTCCTTTCAACATTTACTCTTCACATTCTTCCTATTCCCTGCCTTACTCCCTGTCCCCTCAATCTCTCCTGCACAACAGCTACATTCCCTAGTGTACATGCACACAAACAGTTTTTGTCTAGTGTCTTCCCTTTCTCTTCGATGTTTACCACCTCCTAACTGTGGCCATCTGTCTGGTAGGTAGGCAACTGCTGATCCTCTAGATCATGGTGTATGCACAAGATGTGTAATCAGCTACTTGATGAATCTGTTTGTATAGAGTCCTGAGACCACCAAATCAAGATCTTTGACACGTACACCTAGGCAAGAGAATGGAAAAGTGGAGACTACTGTCTAGTAACAGCATAGAAAAAAATAACCTCAAAAGGACAGTCTCACACCTAATGATAACAATTGCAAAGCTATTTTTGCTATGGGTAATCTAACATTTTCTTTCAACCTTGGCAAGAGGAAACAGCACCTATCTTAGCTAAGGGAGTATGCAGGCACATGCAGATACACACATTCCTTGTCAGAGGGCACGTTGGTTCAATGCTTACAGACAAATAAGGCTGCTCTGCAACCAGGACTTCATGACTCGTGTTGCACAAGTGGCACGTGGTCCTCTTGTTTATATGTACCTACTTTCCTTAAAAAACTAAAAAAAAAAATAAATAAATAAAAAAAGACATCTCTGATGCATCAGAAAACATACCTGGTGTGTTTCCCAACACCTCTCCCAGGGCTAAAGCAGAATTTGCACTGGAGGATTTAAATTACTGCTTAATCCTGACAACTACGTTGGTAGCCTCCCCCAAGATTGAAATTTTCCCTGAAGCACTACACAGTCTCTATCATTGCATAACTGGTGAAATTAGTAGGAGGATCATAGACCGGTAAGGTTGGGCTGGATGGACCTCCTAAACAGTTTACACAGACAACACATCCATGGTCTTCTGTTAGTGAGTCATTAAAGGTGGCCTTCCATTTAATACATGCCGCAAATACATTAACTTATTAAAGCTACAGAGAAGGGGAAACCTCTCTCCCAGTGGTCCTTAACAACCTGACCAGAAGAAAGTTCCTTCCTGACCCTGAAGTTGGCACAATAGGAAACAAAACACAAAAGAGGGGGTGGGGAGAAATCAGACATAGAAAAAAAGAGAATTCTCAAAGAAAACTTAATAAGAGCACGTACTCCAGTGTTTTTTATATAATAATTGATTAAATGCATTTTAAATGTGAAAAAGATTGCGAAAACTTGAATGTGTTTAAGTACGAAAAATAACGTACTTGACCCAATGGAAAACTTAAGTGAGATTTCACCAATACATGTGAATCCTCTATTAGTTGTAATATCAAAATCCTGTGCAATATTTAATATAGCATCCTAACCCAATTAGTCATTTTAAT